TCTTTCCCTTTTTCTCTCTCTGGTCAAATTTAAAAATAAATAATAATAACAAACAAATTCTCTTTAAAAAGATTGTAAAATATAACTACCTTAAACCAAATGAAGAATTTATTATAAAGATGCTAACAAGTCTCACGGAGAAGGAATGAGGCTCAACTTTTAGGATGCATGTAACCAGGACTCAGACTCTGTCAAGAAACACACATCGCATTTCTGGTCTTTACTGAATATTGGCTTCAAGTTTCTCATTCTCACTGTTAATCAACTTTCTTTGTTTTTCTGGTTGACATGAAACAAAACAGAAATGCCATTAGCTTCAAAATGCACATTTTTATACCCAAATAAGACTGACTTCAGTTGAAGTTCCCAGTTCCCCTGGGAATGACTCCAATTGGCCCAACATCATTAAATGCTGACCTCAGAGCAACCAAATACAGCTGGAGGTGGAGTTCTAGAATACAGTCGGGTACTGGGCAGACAGCCCGGTAGGTGCCCTACACACTGCCAAATACTTTAGTTTCTAAGGAAAAAAAAAAAAACAGTGTCAACATGAACTATTACAAGAGCATTAGTGGACAGTTTCTGTAAAGCATAAAGTTTTTAAAAACAATCATGTTCAAATTGATGTCTATTAATAATTCGTGGTACTGATATAAAATTCCCAAGTAAAAATATATTTGGTTTGTTTTAAAAATAAATTTATTTGTTATTTGATAATATTGACAGTTTCCATAAAAAAGGTCATTTAGTATATGCAAAACAATTATAAAATGTATTTTGAAAATAAATGAAAATCCCTTTTTTTCTTTTTTTATATCAGACATAACAAATTTCAAGAGATATTTGGGGATTATGACAAAATTCCCAAGCCTGATTTGGCTCAAGGTATACCATTGGCCAGCCAGTATCAGTCCAGTAAGTAGGAGACATTTATGGCATTAATTTATATTTTTAAATACTCTAACAGGCATTTGTTTCTAGCTCTTTTAGAATCAAAGACTGAGAATGAGAAAGAGTATGAATTCACTTGAAGGAGAATTTTGAAAATAAAGCTTATATAAACATGAATCAGTCTATATATCTGTTTCAAGGACCACCACTGTCAGGAGGAAAACAGATTTTGAAAATTCGATTTAGTTCTTAATTCAGAGGTGAGCTATTTCTGTGTTATAAGCACAGCCCCAGACTCAAAATACTATGTATGTCAGAAGAAAATACACACTTTCCAGCATTTGTCTGAATTTTCTGCTTCCCAATGACTAGAGAATTTCTATTGCAAATTAGAATGTATAGATTCAGGCCAGTAAATGGTGAGCAGATTAAAGCAACTGGATTCCACAGGGCCAACTACAGGATGGGGTCCCAGTGGCTCAAAAAATCACTTAAAATCCCATGGGACCAGCAGTTGGCGTAATGGCTATGTTGCTGGACTCCCATGTAGCCAACCGCGGTTCGAGTCCCGGACCCAGTGGCTTAAACTCACGTCAGGCACATGTACATGTGTGCCCAGGATCCCTAGAGGAGAATGGAGGAGAAGGGATTACAGCATGGCCATCCCCCCTGAGGGGTGATTTCCTGCTTTCTGTCTCTCTCTCTTTCTGGTGAGCACCCTATGCAAAAAGAAAAGAAAAACCTCTCCAAAAAAAAAAAAAAAATCACCCCAATAGGATAATGGAAGAGAAGGGATTGCTATGTGGCCATTTCTTCTGAGGGGATGCTTTCTCACTTTCCATTTCTCTTTCTGTGTCTGTCTCTACCTAGCACATGTGCCTTAGAGCAAAAAAAAAAAACAACAAAAAAAAAAAAACTAAAAAACTAAAAATAAATAAAGCATTTAAAAATGTACAAAGATTCTGGAAAAAGGTTGCTTTGTTTACAGGCACAAAGCATAGCAATTTGAGGAGAACTTCCATCGATTTTTGTAAGTGATCCATGTAATCAATGTAGAGAGTTCCACACCCTGCGGAATACCAGTTAAACGTACGTTCGTGTTTTCTGATATTAGGCAGTGCTTATTAAATATGCCATACCATTGAAGGAGCACTTGGCAAGATGGCCCCAAGTACCTGAAGCTATGACTGTGATTTCACTGCACCCAAATGCACCTGTGAGCAATCTGAAACATTGTTTAGAACAAAAATGAGGATATGGTCAAACCAGTCTCTGCCTAGACTCTCTGGTGCTATCACTGATCATTATCCTGATAGAGTATCTTGCAATGTCATTATTAGCTCAAGCGGTTACTTCCTCAGCCTGGAGCTCCCATCCTCATTATTTATACTTTATTGAGCATAAAAAATTGGTACCAGCAGTTGGTGTAATGGCTATGTCGCTGGACTCCCATGTAGCCCACCGCGATTCGAGCCCCACACTCAGTGGCTTGAACTCATACCAGGCACGTGTGCATGTGTGCCCAAGATCCTGAGAGGAGAATGGAGGAGAAGGGATTGCGGTGTGGCCATCCCCCCGGGGATTGATTTCTCGCTTTCTGTCTCTCTGTCTCTCTCTGATTTTTCCATTTCCATTCATTATCTTAACTACAGAACAAATCTAATTAATGACGTAAGAATATATCCATGTCACTGAGAACTTGTGAAGCAAAGAAACATAATAAATGTCAGCTTTACAGACTGCAATGGTAATGGCCCCACAGGCCAGGACTGTGCATTCTGTAACTGAAGGAAAATTGCCTTGGCATCCTGGAATCATGGCAAGACACAGTTCAGTATAACATCTTAGGATACACAATGAGTTAGGTGCACCAATGCAGATGGTGCACCTAAATGGTGGTTAAGAGGCGTTGAATTTACGTAAATCTGATTCAAGCTCTACTAACGCCTAACTCTCTGCTGGAGGATTAGACAATTTTATTAGGTCATTGAGAAAGTCAGGACGTATTTTTTCTATGTTTTTCTATGCAAAAATGCATCATGACTTTTCCAACCACCCAATACTTCTTTGAGCCTGTTTCCATATCTGGGAAATGTGGATCATAATATATATCTTATAAGTTGTTGAGAAGATTAAATAAAACAATATTTTCAAACTCCTAGCACCTAGTAAGCATTTGACGAATGATAGCTTTTTTATTAATTCAATCCTTAAGATCTAAACTCACTCCTACTTTTCTTTTCTGTTTGACTAGTCAACCTGGTGACAAAAATAACCTGATGTTTTTTTCCAAATTACTAGTCAATAATAACATTACTATTACTATTATTATTATTATTATTATTATTAGAAAACAACAAGCAACACAAACTAAAGTTACAAGTAAAAAGTAAATACATTAGTTAAAATTCATTCTTATTAGCTGTTTTCCTGAGACGTTCTGTCCATTTCCAAATGAGCAAGGCCTGCCACCAGCCTGGAGATAGCTTCACAGCCTGTGAGAACAATGAAAATAAGAACAGTCTCCTTAAAAGAGAGGTACAGTATACAGTAATCATAATCCATCCAGAGCCAGCATATCTGTTTTAGTTCACTAGTTCTGTCCTTGGAATAATTTAGGAGAACTTTATAATCGCTCCACAAGAATTTACAGTACGTCATTAAGCTACTGGGATTTTCTGGGAAAAGGCATTCTTGACTGAGCTGTGGAAAGTCGCTGCTCTTTCATGCCAGATGTGGATAAGGAAGCCTGTGGCCCCCATTGCTATGGGCCCTTCCTGTGAATGAAAAGGACCCAGCCAATAATGAAGCCAGCTCTTTGAACAGTAAGTAGAAAGAGAAATAATCTGTTACTTTAAACATTAGCCTCTGGTTCAACCAAGTGTGAGGCTCACCTTACCTCAGGACGCCATTTACTGGAACCAATAGATCACCTCGGAGCTAGGTGTGCTGTTATTACAACCCAGACCATCCTGCCTGATTGTGCTGGGCATGCTCTCTGCATCCCCATGAGGACTTTCTCTTTCCTGCTCTGTCCCCCAGAAGGCTGACTGCTACAAATTTTAGCAACCAGGTTCCATTGGCTTCTGGTTGGGTTTAGCTAGTAGGAGGCACCTGCTGAAGAGCTGAAGGCAAGGGAGAGAAAGTTTTAGGGTATGTTTTCCTTATTTCTTCTCCTTGTCCTTGTGTGGGTTCTAACTGTGACTATTCTCTCCATACCTCCAGATCTTACCTGTGGGTTCCCTTCCAGTGGCCCCGACTGCTAAGGTAATACTCCTGAGCCCTACTCTTCAGGTAGAACAAGACTAGTAACTGCCTAACATTGCCAGATGGTATTGATATTTCCTCAACCCTTTGCTCACAATCACATCATAAGAATCCTTTTATTGGATCACCTGAGAGATTTGTCATTCCTATTAAGATCCTAACTGAAATAACTTTTTTTTTTGTTCACCAGATGATGTACGTTCTCACCAGAGAGAAAGAGACAAAGAGACAGAAGAAGAGGGAGAAAGCGCTCCAATCCCTTCTCCATTTCCTCATTCTATGAGAATTTGGGGCATGCATACACATATGCCAAACATGTTTTCAAACCATCAGAGCCAGGTCTCAAACCATGAGTTAGTAATGTGGGATCTGGCCCCCTTAACAATCAGGCCATTGACTGGCCCTGATATAACAATAAAATAGCTTAGGACAGTGCTTACTAATGTTAAATGCTCAATAGGTGTAATTATTATAAAAAGGTTGCTATTATTTCCTTTTCAATGTGAGCTATCTAATTTAAAATATCTCTTCCAAAAAACAAAAAGGGGCCAGCAGGTGGCATAGTGGTTAAGGTGCTAGACTCCCACATGGCAGACCATGGTTCAAGTCCTGGACCTGGTGGGTTTTTTCCTCACTTAATCTCTCTCTTTCTGTCTCTGTCTCTCTCAGGTCAAATAAAATAATAATAAATAAATAATTATTAAAGAATATTTTAAAATACCTCTTCTGTGTGTTCAAACATGAGGAAGAAAAGGATGATAAAATAACTATTAAAACTATGTAGAATTAGAATTCCCATTTCTGCTGTACCATGAGGAAGATATGAGAAAGCCTTATTTGGCCTCAGATTCTAAGAAAAAGTATCAATTTATTTTTAGATGTTTTTAAAAATCATGAAATTCCAATCAATCCTTTATTAGTACAATTAAACCCCCTCTTACCAAGTAAATGCTAGCTAAATAGTTTCCCATCTGCCAAGTTTATTATGCTTACCATTAAGTAATATTAGTCTCTTGAATATCTTCGCTAACAGGAGTTACATCTTTACCCAGAGATTCCATTTCTTCTTCCTTCTTCCTTTTTGTACGATGTTTTCGAAGAGGACTTAGAAAATAACATGTTAGAAATTAGTATGCGTCTGTTAGTTTACCTGAACACAAAATTATTCAACAAGAGAGCCTACGATCTTCTTTCTAGACTATTAAAAATGCCCAGATTCCTTTTTTTTCCTTAAATATTTTAGGTTCTCTCTGAATCCATGTTTTTCTAGAGGCTCAAATGATAGCTGTAATAGGCCATGCTGTGGGTAGAATGTGGTTATCTAAATAGGAAGGATATGAAACCTGATGGCTGATGGAATTTAGTTAGCACAAGAAAATCTTTTAGGCCAAGGGACCAGCAGTTAGCGTAATGGCTATGTCGCTGGACTCCCACGTAGTAGACCGCTGTTCACGTCCTGGACCTGGTGGCTTAAAACTCATGCAGGGCGCATGTGCGTGCGTGCCCAAGATCCCGAGAGGAGAAGGGAGGAGAAGGGATTGTGTCGTGGCCATCCTCCCTGGGGGGTGATTTCTCGCTTTCTGTCTCTCTGTTTCTCTCTGTCTGTCTGGTGAGCGCACATGCCCTATAGCAAAAACCTCTCCAAAAAAAAAAGAAAGAAAGAAAATCTTTTAGGCCAAGTCATTTTATTTGATAGATTTATGGTGCCTGGTGGTTAAGGGAGCTGGTTCCCACATGGCCAAACATACAGTTTGTGTCCCAGATCCAGCTGCTTGGAAAATACACCAGACACATATGTGTGCATGTCCCAAATTCCCACAGAATGGAGAAATAGAGGGGAAGGGATTGTGGTGTGACCATGCCTCATAAGAGGTATTTTCTCCATCCATCTCTCTCTCTGCCTTCCTCTGTTGAGTACAGATAACTTCTGATAAAACTTTAAATATGTACACGTGCACACACACACACACACACACACACACATCTATATTATTGACTAATTATGTGATTTAGTATGTAAATATGAAGAACTAATACAAATTAGAAACAGGCATAAGAAAGTTAAACAGTGACAGTAGCCTCTGGATATAGTAATTAAACTTCTAGATGCATTAAGAAATGTGTTAGATATTCTGAACTGCAGTTCAAAATGCAGTTCAAAATTCATAAAACAAAATAGGCTATTTCCCAGCTCTTTCCAACTGATTCTCTGCTCCAAGCTTGGCATTATAAATACTTCTTCCCACCATAAAGTAGACAACATTTTTAAATCTTTCTTTCTTTCTTTTGAGTTTGCTAGAGAGCCCATACACTCACCACAGAGAGACAGAGAGAAAGAAGGAACTGGAGAAAGCACCCTCCCATGGGGATTGGTTACACTATAATTCCTTCTCCATTTCTCCCTCCTTTTGGGATCTTGGGCACGCACACACACATGCCCGGCGTAAGTTTAAGCCACTGGGTTAGGCACTCAAACCATGGTCCACTACATGGGAGTTTCGTGACATAGCCATTATGCTAACTGCTGGTCCCTCAACTGTATATTTATAGGAATCCTAGAGATTATCTGGTTTAATATTCTTGTTTTATAGAAAATAAAATTAAGTTTCAAAAATGTTAAGAAATGTGTCCCAGGGCTCAAAGAGATACAATAAAGGTAAATAATAGTGATAAACCTGGAACAAAAAATCCAAGATATCCTCTAGGCTTTTCTCCCAAGAGCATTTTGAAGAAAAGAACCACGAGATACCTCTTTTGGTTAGATATAACAGTTTAGGCAGTCAGGCTAGCTTCCCAAGACAAGAGATAAAATTTAAATAAAATGCCCATTTAATATACTAAGTAGCAGTCCTCTGATTAAAAAATGAAAATTAAAAATAAATTTTAAAAACTTGGTAGGTTTCCAAAAAGAATTAATTTAATTAAGAATTGTTCCAAGTCACTCCACCTCAGAGAAGAAAGCAAGGTGTTTCTTGATTTCCAAAGTAGTGGTATAGAATGAAAACAAAAGACAGGGGAGAAAAAAGTATAATCATCATTTGCACATAAAATTTATTAATGTGGCCAAGCCAAAACAAGATATTTTTGTTTGTTTCTACCTTTCAATGTTTCATGTCATAGTACAGTTTAGAAAATCCTTAGCTTGCTAACAAATACCAAACTCAACTGACCTTAGGACTAACTGATTGACTTTTTCTAACTAGAAGAATTAGACAAATTTTGTTTTAAATTGCAATAAATGTGTTCAGTAAAATGACAAAGATCAATATTATAATCGGGCATTATTAATACACATTTACACACTCTCGATGAGGGCAAACCTCAGAAAGCTGACTTATTTAAATCAAAGCAATAGTGAAAGAAAAGATAGAAAGACAGGAAGAAAAGAAGGGAAAAAAAGCAATAGCAAGATATCATTTCTCAGATTTAAAATCAAAATTTAAAATACTTACTGACAGCATGTGCAGACACCAATGACCAAGATGATAAAAATGACCATAACTGCTATCAAACAGATCACCAAAATCTGCCCTCTGTCTCCTCTTAGGTAAAACAAGTCAACTCTCTCACACCTTGCCCCGGTGTAGCCTTCATCACAGCTATGGAAATAAAACAAGAAAAAAGGCAACAAGGTAAAAAATTCAAGAATTTTAAGAAGCTCTATTCTTTTTATGGAGAAATTAACATTGCTTTCATTATAAGACATTAATAAAGAACACAGTTCTGGGACCAGCAGATGGCATAATGGTTTTGTTGCTGGACTCCCACGTAGTTGACAGCGATTTGAGTTCCAGACCTGGGAGCTTAAAACTCACACCGAGTGTGTGTGTGTGTGTGTGTGTGTGTGTGTGTGTGTGTGTGTGTGCATGCCCAAAATCCGAAAGGAGAATAGAGGAGAAGGGACTGTGACATGGCCATTCCCCCCAGGAGGTGATTTCTCTCTTTCTGTCTCTCTGTCTCTCTCTCTCTGGTGAGCACATGTATCCTATACAAAAATCTCTCAAAAAAAAAAAAAAAAGAACACAGTTCTCTTTAAACAAATACTGTACACCATTGTATTCACAAGTAGCTTCACTTTGCTTTCTAGCATTACTTAAATATTAATATGCCTGATTTGCAGGGATATAAGCATATTACATTCAATACTAATGTCTAACCTTAACAAGTATGATGACAATTTATCGTTTAGTAACAATTGCTTAAAAATTTTGGACTGAGTTTGAAAAGGAAAGGAAGAAAATTTCCCTCCACTATTTAACTATTTTCATGACAAGGAATTCCCCAAGATTTTCCATTCCATCAGAGGGCAATACAATTTTCATGGGCTCAAGTTCTCTTTTTCCTTTTTTTAGGTTTTTGTTATAGGGCATCTGCACTCGCCAGAGAGAGACAGTGAAAGGGAAAATGAGAAATCACCCCCCTTCCCCAGGCGGAATGGTGGCACCTCAATCCCTCTCCTCCACTCTCCTCCTGGGATTCTGGGCATGCATGCACACGTGCTAGGTGTGATTTTCAAGCCACCAGGTCCAGAACTTGAACTGAACCACAGTTGGCCATGTGAGAGTCCAGCACCTTAATCACTATGCCAACTGCTGGTCTCCTCAAGGTCTCTTACATGTTATTTTAAAATTATATTGTTCTGGGCCAGCAGGTGGCATGGTGGTTAAGGTATTGAACTCTCACATGGCAGACATTGTTTGAGTCCCAGGCCTGGTGGCTTGAAAATCACACCAGGTATATGTGCATGCATGTGCAAAAATTCCAGGAGGAGAGTGGAAGAGATGTGGTTGCGACATGACCATCCCCCCTGAGAGGCTTATTCCTCACTGTCCCTCCCTCTGTCTCTCTCTAGTGAATGTACACACCCTATGGCAAAAACCTTCCCCCCAAATTACATTGTTTTAGATGATCAGATATGGTGATGCGTGTGAAAGTTTCTAACCTATTATACAACCCAAAGAAAGTTTCAGAAAATTTTTTTCTCTGCAGTCTCTCTCTCTCTCTCTCTCTCTCTCTCTCTCCTCTTTCTCTCTCTGTGAATTCCATCTACTACTTCTGGTTCTACGGCTTGAGGGAAAACAGAGAAGATCACGATCTTCTGCTGCTCTTCTATTCACCACTTCCCAGCTGAGCTGCACCCCCCTAAAGTATTCAAGAGGTACTGCCCTCTCCACTTCCTTTATCTGATTCCCTAAGACTGCCTTTTTGCATCTCTTTACCATAGCCTCCAGTCTCTGCAAAATGCATCCCTTTTTCAGGACTTTGAAAAGTGGAGTGACCAGAAAGCAGCATTACGTGTAGCAATCATTCCCCACATTTTCTCAACTCTATCAGTAAAGTCTGAGGAAACGCTCAATTCAGCAGATGCGCTAAGTGTGAGGTTGCGGTAATGGATCTTTTGCCCAAGCTAAGGCTGAGAATCATCATGTGAGCTGATGGCTCAGTGATCTGAGGTCTACCTATAGGATTCTCTGAATTATGTCAGAAGCTTCAAAGGTTGCCTGAAGACCTCTGAGGACATAGTATACAAAATGATCAATTGTGATTAACCCCAGTGCCCTTACAGTAATAAATGTTTCCCTTTATTCTCCTCGGATGCATTTAAAATACAAAAGATACTGGTCATATACATAATTATTTAAATGTCAAAAAGATTAAATTCTGGTCCTTGCAAAGGTTTCTGCGCAAACCCATTTTTCTTAAGAAAGGATTTATTGTCAGGCTGTTCTGTAGCTTATGCTTGAGAAGAGCCAAGGCAGTTAATTCCCACAAAGCCTGTATTTCTCAAGTAAGGTGATCCCTTCATACCAACTCTGTAGCTGATACAGTGCTTCAAAAACAAAAGCAAAACAAAACAAACAAAAAGAAAAGCAAGTTTAGTAACAACTGTGGATTGAAAGGCAAGATGGAATACAAGCAGAGGAGAAGAAACAGCTAATGCCATCTATCACAAAAAAAGACCACAGAAGGAAGAGGAGAAAATGGCTTCCTGCAAGATAGCTAGGTATCTTCATTCCAGGGTCAAAATAACAGAAAGAGAGCTTAGAAATATCTTGAAATAACTGTTTTCCAGAAGGGAAGTACATGTTGCATCTCCACCAGCAATGTGTAAGAAATCCACACATTGCAACTCACACGTTGCATCTTCCGTTGTGTGGTGTTAATTTTTCTTCTATTTCAGCTATTTTAACATTTGTATAGTGATATCTCACTGTGCTTTTAATTTGCATTTGTAGGGCCAGCAGGTGGCATGGTGGTTAAAAGTGCTGGACTCCCACGTGACTGACTGAGTTCAAGTCCCCAACCTGGTAGCTTGCTTTTTCACTTCCCTCTCTTGCTTGTTCTGTCCCTCATGGCATGGGTGTTAAAGGCACTGGACTCCTACATGGCCGACTGCGGTTTGAGTCCTTGACCTGGCGGCTTGCTCTCTCTCTCTGTTTCTCTCTGGTCAAAATGGAAAGATAATGATAAATAATTCTTTCAAAAAAAAAAAAAAAGATTTTTAAGCTCATACCTGCATGTAAACAAACTATGCTGTGTATATAAATAGGCATGGATCTGGGAACAAATGATCCCTATTCTGAGAATATACTGGGAAGACTCAATAGGAGATTTAGATTATTTGAAACACACTTTGATTTACGTACAAAAATAAGAATTCACAAACTCCTATGACCCTAAATGAAAGGAGATATTTCTGGTTTCCCAGGGATGGCATTGTTACCAATGGCAAGACAATTTTGCCTGAATCAGTGCTATACTGAGTCACCTACAAGATCAGTCCTAGGTTTACTATCTCAGTGGTACATTATGGAATATGTTGTGCTGGGAACCACAATAAATGATTTTTACTTAAGATTTTGCTTTATCTTCAATGCTTCAGGGAAGATATTACCTCCTTTATATACCTTATATCCATTGTTAGTGCACAGAATTGAGTAAAACAAAATCTTACCTTCAGTCTATCTGCCGCCCAACGCTGCGCCCTAACACCTATGCTCTTCTGCCTCCCATTGCTTCTGTATTCATCTCCTACTCAGAAGTTTTTTCTGTTCAGACTAAGGCCTTGATTCTGAAATTCAGCACGAACTAAATGGACTAGCGAGGCACTCATTCACCATTTCTTGTGTGTGTGTGTGTGTGTGTGTGTGTGTGTGTGTGAGGTTTTTGCTATAGGGCACGTGTGCTTGCCAGAAAGAGAGACAGAAAGTGAGAAATCACCCCCCACGGGGGATGGCCACGCCGCAATTCCTTCTCTTCCATTCTCCTCTTGGGATCATGGGCATGCATGCACACACGACCAGCGTGAGTTTAAGCCACCAGGTCCAGGACTCAAACCATGGTAGGCTATGTGGGAGTCCAGTGACATAGCCATTACACTATCTTCTGGTCCCTCACCATCATTTCTTATGCACCTAGTCAATTCTAGGCACTGTGCTTGACCCTGGAATACAAAAATAAACAGGCTGTGATCCCTATCCTCAAGGAGCTCACAGTCATAGAAGGCATAAGGAAACCAATAGCTATGCTCCGATGAGCCAGAGCTTTCGTAAGAGTATAACGGACCAGTAAAGGACATCTCACTCAGACCTAGCTCTGTGCTGAGAAGGAGTTGTCCCAGAAGGGAGCCAGAAGAGCTAGTAGTTCATTGCATTGCACACCATCAGTAAGACTAAGCTCCATAGGCTGAGGAGAACTCGTGTATTAAGCCAGAGAAAGCTGGACAGTGGTGCTGCAGTAAAACTTGACACTCTGTGAGGTTGACCCACATGAAAAGGTTCCTGGTTCAAGTCTGGAGACCTCCCTAGGTGCATTGGGCATGTGCACGTCCATGATCTGAGGCTGAGAATGGATTGACAATCAAAATCTCCTGGAGGTTTTGTCTCTTTCTCTGTCCCTCTCATGTGGAGAAATAAATATCGTTTTAAAAAAATTTTAAAGTAAGGAATGTAGGATTCCAGAAATATGGCGAGGGATACACCTAGAAAGTTCAGCTAGGATCAGAGGAGCTATGGAGGCAAAAGGAATTCATTTTAACCTCAAATTGAAAGGAACAAGCTGTGTATTGATCTTTGGCCAGTAGATTACATGCTGTAGTATTCATTATAGAAGACAGCAACGTTAAAGGACAATAAATCTGCAGACATGGAGACCAATTAGAAAAACATATTGGGTTAAAGGGCGTTCATTTATTTTTTGTATGCTTCCTCAATATATGCCAGTCAACAATATAATAAAATAATTTTTGAGAGATTTTTGCTATAAGGCACATGTGCTCACCAGAGAGACAGAGAAATAGAATGTGAGAAATCACCCCCCAAGGGGGTGGCCATGCCATAGTCCCTTCTCCTCCATTCTCCTCTTGGGACTTTGGGCACTCACACACACACACACACACACACACACACACACACTACCATGAGTTTTAAGCTGCCAGGTCTGGGACTCAAACCAGTCACCTTTGTGGGAGTCCAGCAATGGAAGCATTATGCCATCTGCTGGTATCCCAAAAAATAATTAAAAAAAAAATCAATTCTGTCTTTCCCAATGCACACACACGTGTGCACACACACACACACACACACACACACATTTCCTTATTTTCTTGCATGAGCAGTTCTTATACTCTCTGAGTACTTTTTATGCATATTTCTTTTTAAAATTAAGTTTAACTATACCTAAATTTTGAAGATGTCCATGACACTTACAGATCCCACAAAATGAGCATCTGGAATCACTGTGTCAAGATACTTAAGAGGAAAAAAATTAAATACTGGGATAACCGTATAGAGAAACAAATGTTCTATGAACTTGGGTCAAACTGTACTTAAAAAGATTCCTTTCTTCTCTTCATGAAGGAAGGTTCAGACAGCATTTTAGAGGGACATCTCATTTGAAGAAAATGAATATTAAAATACATTAAAAAGTGTGTGAATAAAACAACACTTGGACTCAATCTAAGCTTGGAAAGAGAACATTTCTCCCAATACTCTCCTGCACTCGACAGACTTTGCTAATCTCTGTTTATAAATAGGACTGAACTTCCTTGCACGTAACTGACACCTGCCATCATAGCTTTTAATTTGTCAGGAATTTCTTATATTTTCACATTAACTATGAACCACCGAATGCATGCCAGAAGAATTTGTTTCCATGTGAACCACCCAGGAGCTTCTTTGAGCTGAAGAAGCCTCTTGAAAACACGAGGCAGAGTCAGTTTTGCTTGTACAAGGAAGCGGAGGACACTGCCCTGCCCGAGGTGGTTCTGGACTCACGCACTCGGATTTCAGGAGGAAAGCTTGCGTCAGTTTCTCCATAAGGAGCTGCCTAGCCGGCCCCTAAACAAGTGGATGAAGGCAGGGCCAGGCGGGCCTGTGCTGGGACAGATGGCATGGTTAACTCACACTTTCCAGTCCTGGCCAGCCCCAGGCAGGCACCCTTCTCTACCCCCGTGCTTCAGGCTCAGGGCTCTCCACTTACATGCAGGAGGGCGTCTGCTCGGCCACCACAAAACGGCATCTCCCTTTGATGCAGTAATGCTTGTATTGCTTGGGGCACCGAGAGAAGTGGCCTTTCCGCTTTGGTTGTGTGGTGGTAGCTGGAAAATGAGAAGAAGTTCAATAAATCAACCCCCTTCACTCATCTCTAAATAGAATTACATCCCTCGCTTGCTGCCCGTTTTTCTGTAGATTATACTCTAGTCTCTCATTTCTCCTTCTCTCCACACTAGAATAAGAGTCAGACTTTTGTGGCTTCAAAAGAGTTGTAGGGCCTGGGTAATGGGGGGTGGTGGTGGGAATGTTTCATATTTTAAATTAAGGTCTTGTGTCCAACCTCTACTTCAAAAACTGGTGACATTCCAGGGATCAAACACTGGCATGATAAGAGAGAGGATTTTTAACACGCTAGAGGAGGGAGGTATCTTGGTTTAGTTGTTTTTTGGTTTTTTGTTGTTGTTGTTATGGTTGTTTTTAACTTAAACATTTACCTAGTGTTTACTGAGTGCCAGAAACTAGTCTATTTACTGTTCATATATTTAATGCTTACAACACCTTTGTGAGGCAAGTACCATTTAATCTCTGGGTTTTTTTTTTTTTTTTTTTTTTTTTTTTTTTTTTTTTTTTTTTTTTGAGAGGTTTTTGCTATAGGGCGTATGTGCTCACCAGAAAGACAGAGAGACAGATAGCGAGAAATCACCCCCCAGGGGGATGGCCACACTGTAATCCCTTCTCCTCCATTCTCCTCTCAGGATCTTGGGCAGGTATGCACACACACCCAGCGTGAGTTTAAGCCACTGGGTCCGGGACTTGAACCACAGTCAACTGGGACTTGAACCACAGTCGACTACATGGGAGTCCAGTGACACAGCCATTATGCCAACTACTGGTTCCTGTGATTTTTTAAAATAAGGTATCAGTGTACTGATACCAGTGTACTTACTGGAAAAAATAGTGAGAGACAGAGAGAGAGAGAGAGAAATCATCCCCCAGGCAGGATGGTCATGACACCAATCCCTTCTCCTTCATTGTCCTCTTAGGATTTTAGACATGCACCCACATGTGCCTGGTGTGTTTTATAAGCCAACCGCCTTAACTACCATGCCACCTGCTGGTCCTAATCTCTGATTTATGAATGAGCAAAACATAGCACACAGAGGTGAAGTCAGTTCTGAAATCACGCAGCTGGGAAGTGGCAGAATGGGAACTTGAAGGGAAGCAACCTTGCCCCAAATCTATGCCCCTGACAGCCACCCTCTAGTGGTCTGTCCAACCAGCTGTCCATCAGATGTCTGTCATCTCCTCTCATCCAGTGCAGTCAGAGGTCACATTTGCCTCGACAGGAGATCATGCCTCTTATTTGACTACTGGATGTTTTCTTTTGCTCTGAAGGAAGAAAATACTAGAAGCTTCATGTACCGTATTTCAGTCCTGAACTGGCTTCCTTATCTGACCCCTCAAGGGCCTCGATTGCCTAATTCTTCAACTGAGGCATCTTCAAAAAAGCTCATGAAAAATGTGTATTATGGAAACACTATGGGGCTAGCAGGTGGTGTGGTGGTTAAGAGTGCTGGACTCCCACATGGCTGACTACGGTTCAAGTCCTAGACCTGGTGGCTTGTTTTCTCACTTCCTCTGTCTCTCTCTCTGGTCGAATTAAATAAATAAATAAAGTTAAATAAAAAATAAACAATTATTTGGGGGAAAAAATCAGCACTATGCAGGGGGCCAGCAGGTGGCATGGTGGTTAAGGTGCTAGACTCCCACATAGCCAACCTTGTTTCAAGTTCCAGAACTAGTGGTTTGCTCTCTCACTCTCCCTCTCTCTCTCTGGTCAAATTAAAAAATAGTAATAATAGCAATAATGAAAATAAAATAAGTCTTAAATATAAAAACAACACTGTGCAGCCCTGCTCCATAGTGCAGTGCTTAAGTGCTATGCAGAGGAAATCAAACCCTACATGACTAACCAGAGTTTGAATCCTGACCCTGGCAGTTTAAAAAATACACTGGGGGTACCAGCAGTTAGCGTAATGGCTATGTCACTGGACTCCCATGTAGTCGACCGCAGTTCATGTCTTAGACCTGGTGGCTTAAAACTCACGCCAGGCATGTGTGCATGCATGCCCAAGATCCCAAGAGAAGAATGGAGGAGAAGGGATTGTGGCATGGCCATCCCCTTGGGGGGTGATTCCTCGCTTTCTGTCTCTCTTTCTCTCTCTGTCTGTCTGGCGAGCGCATGAGCCCTATAGCAAAAACCTCTCCAAAATAACACACTGGGCACATGTGCAGGTGCCCAGTTAATTAACTCCCATGCTAACTGCTTTATACTTGCCAGATATTTTCTCCCGTGCTAGTCAATAGGACTCAGGTTGACATTTCTCCCAGAAATAGCTACAGCATGTCAAAAGCAAAGACCTGTGTATTTTGACAAATAAGTGGATGTCAAATTTGTTGAATGTTTTCTATTTCCAGAGCTTTGTAATAGGCATTGGAAAACAATAAAGTATGAATTTTGATAGCTATTAATAGTTAGATATCTAATGGTGCACTAGAACAAATTACAAACAGCAATAAGCATTCAACCAATAAAAACAACCACAGTGATCTTTAAACAGTAGTAGTACACTGGAAATAGTGTGAAGGACACTGGATTAGGAGGAAGGAAATTACTGTTTAGTTATCAGCTCTGCCTTTCATCAGTTATGTGAGCCTGGGCAAGCCAATTAAGCTGTCTGAGCCTCAGTTTCCTCATCGGTAAACTACAGATGATAACATCCATCTTAAAGGGCTGTGGAAAGGTGCAAATAAAAAAATATACATGGACATTCCTTACAGAGTTCTTGGGACAGTAAAATCCCCAGTAAATGAGTTGAGTCTAGAATCTTGAAAATCGTGACCATGCTAAGAGAAATTCTGTATAAGTACACAGAGTGCTTGCTTTTTCAAAGAAAAGTTTCCAGGAAATGTAGATGTTAAGAGAGGTGAGCAAGCGATTGAGTTATGGAGAATGTCAAGAGCGAAGGCACGAAGTCAGAAATACACCATCTAATGCAGCGGATGAGAGGAAGATTAATTACATGGAAGAGTCATAACGGGGAGTAGCAAGGATGGCTGTAAATGGAAGTTAGAAACCTCGAATGTCTGTAGGCTGAAGTGTTTACACTTGAAATATTAGGCAACAGAGAGCTGAAGATGGTTTGTATGGATGAAATTAAATGATGTATATAAAAAAAATTCTTGAAGCTATGACGCCTTCCATCAGTATATTAAATGGGAACGTGCAGACTGAATTAGAGCAGGAAGATGCTGGGGCAAGCAGACCACCAGGATTTACCTGAGCCATGTAGGCTGTGAGATGTGGCCCTGGGCCAAGGGACTGAGGGCAAGGAGATTAATTTAAAAGGCAGTAAGATTTAATGACAGGTCTGGCATGATCCAGAAAGGCCGTTTCTACTTTGCAGAAAACAACTGGCTTTAAATACAAGCCACTTGACCATGTATCCTAAATGTCACTAATTCCTCTAGTTGCTGTGCCCCTTTAAGTAAACCCAAACTTTTAATAAACACGACTCAGGGTATGATACCAAAAAGCAAATAAACCAGCAGCTGCTGAATGCAGTGATTTGATCAGCCTCGGTTCATCCAAGCAGCACAAATCCATGCCAAGGAAATGGATGCCAGGTCCTGTTTTGATCACTCACAGAGCTCCCAGCTTTGCCAAATAAGCATGTTCTTCAGTATTCCCAGCATTACTTAGATTTAAAAACCTTTCCATGCCAGTAGGCAGAAAACGTCCAGTGATTTCTCTATGGAACTTTAAAACCAGGAAAAATAAATAAATCACCCAAGTCACAAAAAAAAAAAAAAAGAAAAAAGAAAAAAAGAAAAAGAAAAGGAACACAAATGGTATCTCTTCTTCCTCTTCTATGAAAATGAGAAAATTTATCAGCATTCTCTCTTACAAACTACACCTAAAATTCCAGTTGCTTTTTCATTTAGTATTCATCAAGTTTACATTATGTAAAAAGTCAGCAACTGTGACAGCTAACATATTCTGCCGATTATGAGACCTGATAAATAAAGGACGGGGAGGACAAAATTGATCCTTCTTTTCTCTATAGAGCAGTTTATCAGAAAGAAGTAATAGTTAATTCTTTGACAAAATAATGATCAGTCCCAAGTGTGTTTCTCTGTTGAGAAGCGAATGTCATGGTTTTGAAGATCAGGAAGACACTCCTGATCCTAGCGGTGGAAGAACTTAGCTCATCTTTTTCCTCCCATTTTGCCATTTCCAACTCTCAATCCCCATTCCAAAGCATTCCAATAGGAATGAAACTGTAGCATGAAATTTCACTGGACAGCTATTGACACATCCATCAAGGGGTACCACAAGTAATATAGCTCAATTTCTTCTGGGACACTATATTCCAAAGATTCTAAAAGCCAATTAAATGAGTAACCATTAAGGTTACTGTAATTCAGTGTATGTAAATGAGTGGCATGGTGGTTAGGGTGCTGGACTCCCACGTAGTCAATCGGTTCAAATCCTGGACATGCAGCTTACTTTCTCACTTTCTCTTTTTCATGACATCCATGCCCTATACCAAATTAAAATTAAAAATAATAATGATAAGAAATAAAATTAAACAAGTTATTTTTTAAAAAAAGGATTTCTTAATTATTAGTTTTAAAAAAATCTGATTCTAAGAGTTTGCAAAAGGGGTCAGAAACAAGGGCATCTTCCTTGGATCATATGGGCAATTTAATGAGACATGTTCAGCCTCCTTGGGTTACATAGATAGTTAAATGAGATATAACAGATTCTTTTGAGCTAAAGCAAAGGGCTATAGTAGACATCTAAATGATTCTGTTTCCATATGGAATTTTCCTCAGCTTGAAGAATGCTTTGGTTAAACATAGTAAGGTTACTTATTCTCTCCATATATGATTCTAATTCTCAACATGAATGTGACTTTGTGATTCCATTATGACCAAAATTCTTCATGATAGATAGATTTGATTTAGTTTTCATAAAACTAAAATTCTTCACAATGGATAAATTAGATTTATTTTTCATAAAGTCTTTTACTTACATATT